ACCCGTCCTGCCTTGTATTGATGTAAACCACGAATTAAGATTCTTAATTCGTGGTTTATTCAAACATTCTTAAATTAAGACGCTTTATTAGTGATAACGTTTTATCAGGGAGTTTCTACATATGCCGGATCCAAACATAGTATTGTCCCTATGCTAAATGCACGGAAAAATTTTTTAGCTATTTATTTTTATTAAATGTACTTATATTTAACATGATTTTTTGATATATTTAGATACATTATGATACAAATATTTGTAATAATACATGTAAAGTTTAAATAAGGAGACAGAATTTAAATAAATTTAAAAATTAATTTTGGCGCCAAAATCTTTGTACAGCAATAATAATAATAAAAATAATATCCTTTTTTATTTTACTCTTTGTTCTTATTTGCCTGATTTATTGTTGATTATTTTTTTAAATATGATAAATAAATAGTTGGGAGTTTTAAAAAATATTCTATTTTTTTTTTTAGCAATTATTTATTTTTTTTATTCACCATAATGTCTGCAAATAGTGCTATTAGTATGTTTGCGATATTTGATTATTTTAAATCAAATCCCAAACAACTAAAAAAGGGAGAACTTTCATTTAACGCTGGATACATTTGTAAAATAGTATACGACTCAGCCAATGGATTGATACAAGGTGAAGTAAAAGCAAGTATGAAATCAATCCAGTATAAAGTGAAAGTATGCAATATATTGTATTAATTATTATTAGGGCTCAGGACTTCTAGGAGTGCATGTTTTTAACTAATCATTAAAATCATAGCTAAGTAATACAGACATATGTTTCATGGCAATACAATTTTAAATTTAAAATTTATAGTTGCATATTTTACATATTTGACCATTTTTTATTTTATAATAGCATATTTGACAATTATTTATGTGAATAAGTTTTTAATTCCCAACTTAAGAAAATATCTAATAGTTCAATGTAATACTCAAAGTAATAAGTACTAGGTATTTTAAAAATATACAAATATATTCAACTTGTTGTTTTTTAAAAAAATTTTATAATGTTTGTATTACATTTAAACAAGCTGAAAATATGAAAATAATTATCTCAGATAATTAATCAAATTTATCTATTTATGTATCGTATCCACAAATAGTATTATTATTTACTACAAATATTACTTTTTTTTAAATGCATATTTTAATAGCATATCAAGTGAATCTTTAGGGCATAAATGCATGCATATTTTAAGGTTTTTTAGGGCATGAAGTCCCTAGCCCTAATTATTATTATAGAACTTCTAAATTTTAATCATAGAAAACATTCTCTCATAGATATTTCTCAATGATGGAGTTATATGTGACAGTACGTGTACATGTCCTAGAGGATTGGTGATTTGTCATCATATGGCAGCTTTATGTTTGTTTGCTCATCATAATTGTAGTTCTACAGATAGTATTTGCTCTTGGAATGTGAGAAATAGTAATCTTGAAAATACTAAAACTATTAGTGATTTATATCCTGCTTGTTCATATAAAGCTACAATTTCTTTACCAAACAAAAACCAAAATAACTTTAAAAAAGCTTTAGAACAGTTAGGTACACCAATAGGTATGTCCTGGCTATTAAAACCTGAACCCAATGTTGAAGTGTTATTTCAACAATCACCAGTTGTATTAATTAATGATATAATTATATCAGATGAGTATAAATCATCAACAACAAAAACACAGCTTCTAGAAAATAAATTAAGTGTGTCTGATGAAATTATTTTAGAAGTAGCACAAGAAACAATTGGTCAGTCCAAAAACATTAAATGGATTACATATAAAAAGCACAGACTTACTTCAAGCATGTATGGAAATATACTTGCAGCATGCCATAAGAAAAAATATAATCCATCACTGTTTAAATCACTGAACAATGAATATATCACTACTGGTGTGCATGCTATTGAGTGGGGGCTTAATAATGAAGATGCAGCATTAAGTTTTCTCCAGAAAACTGAAAATGTGTTGATTCAAAAAACTGGATTATGGTTACATAAATGTGGATATCTTGGTGCATCCCCAGATGGACTTATAGGAGAAAATTGTGTAGTTGAGGTAAAATGCCCCTATAAATTCAGAAATAGTTTGCTATCAGAAGAAATAAGTAAAGACAAAACTTACATAATTTATAAAGAACATAATCAAATTCATGTAAACCAGAAACATAATTACTGGCACCAAGTTCAAGCACAACTATACTTTACCAGAAGACAAAAATGTATTTTTGTAGTTTGGACACCAAGAGAATCAATCATAGTTCATATATTTAAAGATAACCAATGGCAAAACAATATTGAAATACTTCAAAAGTTTTACTTTGAACAATATATTCCATACATTATATCAAATAAAATAATATAGCTTTATTCAAAATATTTTTTACAAATACCTAATTTTATACATTAAATAGTTCCTTCAGTTAATACTTTTAATTATTAAAAAAATAAATTTACATTTTATTTTGTATTTCTTTAATTAGTGGATACTGAAAATTAGTGAGCGATGCTACAACTTTAAAAACATAGTCAGCTTGGGATAACAGAGATGTAGGTATATGATCTAAAATTCTGTAACATTTTATTCTTTGAATAGCTCTCTCTACATGGATTCTAGCTTTAGCAATAGTTTCGGTAAGTAAAACTTGTTCTGGTGTGAACTGTGGAGTGTCCAGAAATGGAGGTATATTCAAGTATACATTTGGAGGTAAAATATCACGAATTAAAAATCCCTTGTCTGCGAGTATTAAATCACCTGGTTCCAATTGAGATAAAACACCACTTTTCAGTGTTATTGTTTTATCTGAAGTGGAACCTGGAAAAAAATCGCTTACAAATGTAACAACACCATTTGGTGCCACACCAATTAAGGTTTTCAATGTATGATAGTGTTTATAGCTACTAAAAGTGGCTTTTTGTGTAACCATAGACACTCTAGTAGTATCAGTTTTAATTTCTGTACAATCAAGAATAATTCTACAGTTAGTAAATGTCCTGAAGGAATTTGGTAGACATAGCTTATTTTTATTTTTTGATGGAATTTTAGACATAAATACTAAGAAAATGTTTTCATACAGAATATGGATCCAAGTCATAAAAATGTTTGTTATGGTTGCCTGACTACATTTAAATCGTTGGCCAAGATCTACATGTGGCAAATTAAGTCTTAGTTTCATTAAGGTAATCAACAATTGATCATGCATAGAAATATTTTCAACTTTCCATTTTAAATAATAATTTATCTCAATATTTTCACATATTACCATCAGTAAATCAAAGATTTTAGAATTGGGTAACCCAGTATATAACTTAATTAATTCATCATTACTTGAAATCAGTTCATAAGATAAGCACTCAGAAATTGAGGAAATTTTTAATTTTAACTGTTCATTTTCTTTTCTTAGCAACAAAATTTCAGCTTCTAAGCATTTGTTGGTTTGACTAGACCTACAAATAGTAAGTATTTAACTTGTTAAACACAAAACATTTATTTATGCATAGTAATGGGTATCATACATTATAGATATAATATTTTATTAGACCAGTCCAAAAAAATAAACAATTTTGCTTTGATTCCAATCATTAGTGTTTGAAATATTAATTTATATTAGGTATTTGATATTTTGATATTTATTTAAAATTTAAATATAGGTATTTCAAAGGATTATAACTTGATAAAATATGTATATTGTATAGGTAATATACAATTTTGCTAATTAATTTAATAAATGGTCTTATAATATAATATTATATTTAGTATTTGTATTTATACATAAACATAATAGTTACTAACTGGAGGAGTTGATTCTTTAAATCAAGTATGTTTAATTCAACAATTTCTGATGATGGTGTTTGGGTAATTGTGCTACAAGTGCTAGTGCTAGTGCTAGGTCCATTGTCATCAGAATGGCAAGCAATTTTGGTTCTTTTTCTTTTTTCTGGTGATTGAAAATTAGAAAATGCATTTTTCCTATGATCTAATATTTCAGGACCATTTTTTTTGTCTCCATTTCTGAAATGACAACTACAGATTCTAGCACCAGGTCCAGGTTCAACATCTCTTCTGTACACAAATAATTTTGTTGTTTATATACCTAATACTTATATACCTACTTGAAACTACTGAAAATTTACTACTTTACTACTTTGTTATAAAATATAAATGTTAACAAGAATTTTATAAAATATAAAATAAAGTTTTATACTTCACTAATTTAATCCATCTACGCCTCTCTTTAGTTTCAACAGGAAATTTAAAGAAACTACATTTGTGTTTTTGGTTATTATGAGTACAATTAAATGCCCAACACAGCATGACTAATGGACAATTTTATTTAAAATAGTAATCACTAATAATACTATGTAAAGGTGCAACAAATAATTGCCTAATTTCATTTAATGTGCTCAAACTTTTTGTCCGGCTATAATATTATAATAATACTATAATATTATAATTATAACAAGGTTAGGTTAAATTATAACAGGGATGTATGTATAATATTTCCCGCCAAATTTGTTTTTCTGATTTATTTAAATTTCTGTACATATTTTAGAGAATCCAATATTTTAGATTTTTTATAATGACCTAATTTAACGTTTTTGACTAAGATACATAACTAAATCAAAATAGTTTTATTTAAAAAAAAATGTTTAGTTATAGACCCATGTATTAGATATAGGGACTTCGATTTGTTTGGATCCGGCTTATCTATAATCTCCTTGGATGACGTCACACTAATAAAGCGTATTCGTGTTATTATCATAATGTCTATAGTTATTATCACTGTATTATTATTATGTTATCAATTTGATAGTATCACTTATTAAAAACTCAAGATTATAATTTTCATAAAAATATTTTAGTTGTTTTCATGGTACATACTTTATACCACAGAACAATATTTATACAACTGTTTGCTCTTGATTCTTTAATAAAATATTTGATTTGTTTCAGACTACATAATTAATTAATCATTAATCGTCACCAAAATGCTGATGGCGTTAAACCGACATATGTTGCATAATAGTCTTTTGAAGTTTCAACAACATTTAGCAACCTCGAGTAATACATTAAAAGTGGTTGCTTCAAATGTAGTGGCTAATAACAATGGACTGACCCAAACCAATAGTAGATCTAGTTCATTTCGACAACAATCCTCTTCTTCGGATAGTGAAGGAGAAGACACTTTAAAAAACAACCCGTATTACACAGCATACGCCGAAAAATTGGGAGATCTCAAAAAGTAAAAAAAAAAAGATATGTCTAGGTAATTAACAAAAATTATACTAAAATAACTTATTTTTTTGTTTTATAGAAAAAATGCTAGTGCCTACCGTGAAGCATTACGTCGTTTACGTGAAAAACAACAAGAGACTATTGATACTGTTGATGCAGCAGTAGTAAATACTACAGACACAGTGTCTGACAAAATTAAGAGCACTGAAACCAAACCACAAGCAAAACCAAAACGAAGACCATCCCAGACACTATTAGTCAAACCAAAAGTATATACAATTTCTAAATAAATTTTCTCAACAGTATAATACATACTATAATGTCAAAATATTATGTTGTTTAAAGACTCTAGAACAAGTTATGAACATAGAATTGTTACGTGACAAATCATGGCGAGATGTATCTGAGATATGGCTGGCGTACCATAGGACACGTGATGAAACTCTTAGTGCTGTTATTCCTCTAAATCAGTTCGAAAAATTTTATAATCAATCTATTAAATATCCCATGGTACTCAAGTGTTTTCATAACTTATATTCCCAAATACAGGTGTTTCAATAAACCGTTTATTTTCAGTTTTTACTACCTCTTCCACGCAACACTAGTGGTTACGAGTTCATATTTGCCCAGTTCCAGCACTATCAAGAAAATTCAATGTCCAATTGCACAGTCCACTTAACACCATTGATCAGTTATCAGGTAAACATTTTTAATTGTATAGTGATGGGTAATTTCAATATAATTTATTGTTTAAAGTTTAAATATTTTGTTTCAATAATAATGGCTAAAAATTGAATGAATTTTAAATTACTTTTCTTTTGAGTGTACATTTCTTATTTATACTCTGCGCCAGCATAGAACATTGCCGTTTTGTGCATGCATACGAGGCACAGTTTTTTTTTTAATCATTTATAGCTCAAAATTTAAAGCTTTGCACTAGATAAATTTAAATTATATCGTAAAAATTCTTGATGTTAAAATTGTAAGGATTGTTTTTAAAATGTTTCAGTATAGTAAATAGGAATTAAGATATTAATATTATAGCTTACATTTCTATAAATACTAGCTCAATTAATCGGCATTGCTCAGAAAAAAAATGTTGATTGTTCAACTCCTTTTGGGTGAAACACGCAGCGGAAGCAATGTATTTTTAAGTGTAAATGATATTGTATTTTAATGTATAGCCATCCTGACCGACGTTGTCCGTGAGATTTGCTTTTATGATTATGCGAGCAGTATGTTATCAGATAGACAATCTACCTGCGTAGATCATGGACCCCATGTAGCTTGTACGTTGGATTAATCCAATCAATTAATACAAAATACTAACCTAATCTAATGGTACTAAAATCCGATGAATAAAAAAAGCCAAACATTTCTCGTATGTATAGATAGAAAAGTAAGAAAGTAAAAAATGAGAAAAAAAAAACAATGCAAAAAGTTGGTCCACTAAATCCGTAATTCGAATTTGAGACATTCCGTGCTAAATTACATAGAAGTGTCACTGCGCCAACAGCACAATATAAAACATAATAATACTTTTTTTTATGTTGTTTTCTAAATAAATTTTATAATTAGGTACCTAATTACTTGTTTATATTATGTTGTAGACGTTTAATGAAAACGCACCAGAATGTATGACTATTGAATATTATACAGACCTTTGCAACAACGATAAAGCGATTGAGCACAGTGGGTCTGATGATGAATGTGTTTTGATGAGATCTACGTACGATGGGAAATTATTATCTGCTGCTGAAGCAGCTTGCCTAGTAAACCAGTTGCGCATATTTTATGCAGTAGATTCTGGAGTTGCAGAGAAAGAAAAACTTTTAAAATCGTTCAACGAAGGAGATGTAACATTCAAACACTCAGATGTAATTGCTCTAGTAGAAACGTTGAGCATTTAATAATGTATTTCATTAAAGCATGTCGAGTGCAGCTTGAACATAGAACTCTAATCTTTTTTTTTCTTGAGTATACAACCGATGTATGTGTGTTTAAAATAAATACTACTTAGAAATAATAATGATGCTTTTATTTAAATATTATTCCGGCATACCTATTGTAGGTAATTTATCGTCATACTATACTATTTTCCTAATAATATGCACTTCGCATTGTTCACAACAAGCACAAGCAATTAATATGTAATACTATAAAATTAAAAATATGAGTAAAATATGACATTTTACAATATTATTAATATTATTAATATTATATTTTATAGTGTTTTGAGTGTTTGGCATTAGAGTGATAAGTGATAACGTCACTGTGTGGATGTTGGCAACGGACGTGAACATGTAACGCATAATATTATCCGTAACCGTGGCCGCCACCTGTCACACACATCTGGTGCATTAGCCGTATAGTATTGTGCCGTGTATAGCGCCCGTTACTGCGTCCTGGTCCTGCTAACAGTTCTCGACTAGCAGTTATCGCCAACAGGTGTTTTCTCCGTCGCCGGACGTCTTTCTCGCGTCGAGCAGTCGCACCACTCGCACCACAGCTTGTGCCCGCCACGACAAAACCGACACGGGACGTTAGGAAGATTTTCTCAAGGTAACTGACCAACACCAGCGCAGACAACCCGGTCAGACACCGGGCTACACACGATTGGCGCACGCCACCAACCACATCGACCAGCGTCTGCCGCACAAAACATGTCGTCCCACGACGCCAACAACGAACAGGAGCCGCAGCAGGTGGCCGAGCCAACCGTTCGGCTGTGCGTGTTGCGCACCTGGCCTGACCACTTTGACGGGTACGGGTTCAACCTGCACGCCGAAAAGTCAAAAACATCCGCGTCTTCGCCCAACGGCGGTCTGCCATTCTCCGGCGGACAGTTCGTCGGCAAGGTGGACCGGGGCAGCCCGGCCGAGAGCGCCGGTCTCCGGGAGGGCGACAGGATCGTACAGGTGGACGGAGTGGACATCGACGGCGAGACGCACTCCAAGGTGGTCGCCCGCATCAAGAAAGGCTCGGCCGGGGACGGCGCAGAGGACGACAACGAATCGGTCAGTCGCTGTTCGCTGCTGGTGGTCGACCGCCGGGCAGACACGTACTACAGGGAGAAGGGCATCAGAGTGCACGCCGACATGGGGCTGCAGATACTGGTGTTGCGCACACCTGAGGAGCCGACGCCCGAATGCCTTGCTCTGCAGCCGCAGAATGCCCCGAGCCCGAAAAACGCCGCGGTGGCCGACGACGCCGCAGGAGCAAAGCAACAGGCGAGTTTGTTTCCCGTCGCGTTAATAATATTATCATTACATTTTTATCCCATTCGTTTTCTGTACTTAAAAATATAATAATATTGTCGTTCTGGTCGTCGCTCTACACCTCCCGCATACGGTGGTGTTCGAACGACGGCGGTTGGAGATCTTGGGAGTGTGGCCCAGCCGTTTTCACCATGGGAATGTTTATTATACAATAATATAATGTACCAAGTATACCTACCTACACTAATAATATAAAATATTATAATATCGCTTTGGCCAACGGTTGGGCGTGGGTGGCAGACGGCGGTTGTAGCCAAGGACTCTGGCGGCATCGCCGTATGACGCGTGAAAAACGCGGTCGAGGACGCCCCCACTCCGCTGTTCCTGTACAATATCATCATAATATTATACCTACACGTAGGTACGTTTCATCCGCTCGTGATGTTAGAGCAACTCGGCGCGCACAGGCACCTACCTAAAAATATTATACACACCTCGCCAGCGATAATTCGATTACATTATGCGAAACGTACCTGTTGTAGGCACAGCGATATTTTCTAGCAGTGTAATAAACCGATAAAAATAATTTCCAACGAAAAACGTTTCAAAAGGTCAGGCGTGCATAATAAATATGCATGCGGGGGTATTCATTGATCACAATACTTTTGGCCACTGGCAACGTTACGATTTTGACGCCCGTTGGTTACAGTCGACTGGATTTGTCACTAAAATTGGCCTTTGACTAGGGTTATTCTGTACGTTATTATGTTAACTCTGCTTAAAGCGCGTTCACTGCACGCACATTATTCCAAACCCATGGGCATAGCTGGTTTGATGATAGATTAATTTGTGCACTTTCATAGCTCAATCTAGAAACCAACTATTTAGTGTTAGATAAGATGAGTTTAAAGGTACTAATATACTTAAATTTCACCGTACACATGACTTTATAAAATAGTGAGCTTTTAGACGCTAGAGCTTTTTGTTTGTCCTAAATGTTTATCGTACAGAACGGCCATGTATGTTTGTTATAATGAATTCGTTATATGGTGGTTTCACTTTTTGTTTTTTCTTGGATTATTGTGTTTTTTAAGTATAATTTATGTATTTTTTTGGTTATATTTTAAAAAATAATGTTAATAAGTAGTTAGGTAGGTTGTTGGTATAACATAAATACCTAATAATATGTAAATAAGTATTGGCAATTACACAAATTGGATTTCGTAATTATCATATTTTTAAACGCAACACAAACGGAAAGTAAAATTATATTTATTTAAAATATAATAAAGATATTTAATCTTAAGGTTTTTAATTGTATATTTTTCATCATACCAACCATAGTGTTAAATAGCAATTTGTAATATTATGCTTATATACGTACCTATTTATAACTTATTATTAGGTATATAGTTAAAATCGAGTTAAATGGATATCAAGTGTCCCCCTGGTACAAAGATGTCGTCCATTACAATCGACTTGAAACAACATATTTTACTTACCAATAGGTGCGATTAAACAAAACCGTAATTAAAACCATTAACGCGCCTATATAGCCATTAAACAAATCATTAAATATTAAAAGTCAATTAGCCATTAGGTATGTCGTATATGTATTTTAATAATAATAATTAATAGCTACTAATTATTTTCTTTACAAACAAAAAATATAGCTTTCTTACTATGTTGAAAAAACGCGAATAATTCGAAGTACTTCCCTAAACAAAAATCCGAAAATTCCTACCGTGTGACAATCAATTGCTGCAACAGTACTCATTAATTTGATACTTACATTTTCGATTAACGGAAGTGTCGATTTCAGAATCAAAACCCACGTAAGATCGTGCTTTATTTACGATAACCAAACACGCACAGTAATAATATTATGTGGTCACATGGTCAGTTGCTATAAATTATTATTTCGATATTCTATGATATCATAATTAAATATAGGATGTATATAATTTTTGTAAAATATATTTAAATCGTAAAGAATATTATAGAGCAGGAATACTAATTATTTCATTCATAAAATTTTTTTTTTCTATGATTTGGTTTATTAAATTGTTTCCTTTTTTGCAATAATGTACAATACTGTACAATTATGTCACAAAAATGTCAATTAAATGTATCAGACATACTGCAACATTTTAAATTTATTTGTAATAATGCATCAATAGTCATTAGTCAATATACTGTATATTGAATAATATATAAAAATTGATATCGATAATCGATGCGTTATTAATAATTTCTCTAACAAAAACAGGTATATTGCATTAAAATAAATATAATATTATATATTGGGGGGACGGAGTGACCGAGTGGACTAAGGGATCGGCTGCAACGCAGCCCACGCTTGTTCGATACCTCCTCGGCAGCAGGTGGCAACAACTTCGGGCAAGTCACGGTGTCCGGAGAATAAGTTCCGCCATCCCCCACCCGGGCATGGCAGATACCTACGGGTGCCCAAATCAAACATTCTGCCAAAACAAACACACACGTGTAAACAAATCTACAGTACCCTCCCTTACATTACCACAGACTAATAACCTAATAGTTGAGGCCTTAACCCTAATAAAAAAAGAAAAAATATTATATAGTATTTTCGTAATACTCACTAGTACCTATATTATGTGCATAATATTAATATATTACATACATTACATGATACAATTTAACCCCCCCCCATAAAATGCAATCAAATCTCCGCCTGTGCCAGAAGAAAAGGTGCCTGCAAGCAGGGGTGGTTGCAGGCCAAGGATGACGACTTGGAAATCGCTGCTTTGGCCAATAATTGTAATTTCAAATACGTAGGCCTATATTTTTGTGATATTTAGTAATAACAAGATTTTCGCAGTTTTCCGTGGTCGATTTATAGTCCCAGCCCACCCCTGCCTGCTATATTAATTGAAGGGGTCAATGGATGAAGGTGTTAACTAACTTATTTGAAATTGTTCAAGTTAACATACACTGCCACTTTTATCCACTACAACTAATAATCAATTCTTCTTATAACACGTAGGTAACCATAAATATTATTGGTAACCACTAAATAAAACCTTATCAAATTATGATATAATGTTTATAACATTTTAATTCCTTTATTCATGCAATAAAATGCATTTTTGAAAAAATGTCTGTTAAAGCTGCCCATTGACCCCTTTAATTACGAATAGACATTTTATCTGTAACTCAAAAGGGCAATTCGAGACTTAGCCCCTCACCTCACTAAGATTTTACAACTAATAAAATCATTTATATTATTACACTATGATTTTTAAAATATTATTATTTAGGTATGATTACATGCATTTTTTTACATATCAAGAATCCTTTTTTTCTGCATGACTAAAACCTAACCAACTGCAACGGCAGCTGCTGCTAATAAACGTATTGTGGTTATTTGTTAACCATTTAGATCCGTCATTAAAAATGCATTAAATTGAATGTCAGCCGTCATCGCACTATTTGTTTTTTCTCTCTGAACCACTCGCAATATGGGGAATTTGCGTTTAGCAGAACCAAACCTATCAATTGACAATTATCATAATATATTTGCTAATATTAGAGTGAATCGCCTATTATTAAACTCAAAGATAAGGATATTATCTGTGTTTGCACTTGGGCTTTTATACGGAATTTTGTTAGTAAGTTATGACTTATGAGTATACTGTCTTATGTAAAATATTAAAATATAATAATGATTATTATATCACTATCGCGGAAAAATTGTAATATTGTAAAAGAGCCAACAAATAAATACACATACTGTTCTTCACATTGAGTTTTAAAATAGGCCAATTATTCCAACTCTAATATTAAAACTTACATTTCGACAGGTACCCCCAAATACGGTTGTTATAAGGTCAACCCCGCAATGATTGTAATAACAGTGTCTTTCAGTTGTAATTGTTATAAATGTTTTAATATTTAAATCGTGTTTTTAAATTTGTATTAAACGTGGTCCCGTGTGTTCTACCATTTTTCAGCCGAACGACAGCGACGAGACTGCAAAAGCCGCCAACTCAACGACTTCAACCACTACGACGTTAAATCTGAACATGACTGCTGCCGAGCTGCGCCGGCGATTGGCCGAACGCAAGAAGCAAGACTCTCGACGCGCCGGCGGTGCTGGAGACGGATCGTTAGATTTCCGTAAAAAGTACGAGATTGTCGACAAGTTGTGAAAATTAAAATATTGTACTGGATCTTTATACACACACCCGCATACACACACAAGCATTTTTAAATACACGCGCCCTAAATTAGTGAATAGGATAATATTAATACCTACAGAATAATATATTATATTATTATCATATTGTTAGTCTATTGATTAAGTATTTGAAAAAAAAAGTTTGTATACTTTAGCGTTTAGTATTTATCGTCATCCGTCCGAATGTCTAAAAGGTTATACAGGGTACCTATACGTCATAAACTCAAAACTTATGTTATAGTCGAGCATACGATTATATCTCCGTAATGCCGTTGTATATTTTTTTATTTTTTTTTCTCATTTATAATTTGGTGCAGTCCGTCGTTGTGTTACGCAATTTAAATTAAATATCAAACGTATTTCGTATTTTAATATTATATATTATTATGTGTGTGTATGAGCGTGACCATCGTTTTCCGATGTTCGATTTCTTAAATAAGAAGAAAACGTATGATCCACACACACACATACATATAATATTATGTATACACAATTAATAACCGTGTGTCATAATACATACAAAATACTTTATACTAATTATTCTTAATTTAGTGGTTAGTACATTATTATATCATAGTAAATAAATATAAGCTCGCGACGAAGATATAATAAGTTAGTCGTGCTGGCCTATAAAACATAATAATCTATAGGTAATTTAATAACGTAGGTACTAGGTACGTCATACGCATATAATAAACTATTATTCTACACAACATATTATTATTATTGTCATTAATTATTATAATACGATATTATGATTCATATAGTACTTAATTATATATTTATAAAAATTAAAAACCATATTGCTCCAGAAAAAAAAAAATACTTATACGTATTCAATATAATATTATGTGTTTATATATATTGTAAAACATATTATTTTAAATATAAATATAATTTCTCAAACATGGAATAAATTATTTACCTCCACGGTACCACTGTCTGCTTCCTTATCATTTGATACGTCCTTATCAACTATTGGAATTATCACATTTATTATTTCCGTTTACATTTTTGCTATTATGTTTTTGTAAACACAAACAGTAAAACACCGGACGAAAACTTTTCCTTGTTCTAAAATGGTTTGCGAGAAATGTGAGAAAAAATTGGGTATAACGGCTACTCCCGATCCCTGGAAACAGGGATGTCGTAATGCCATCGATACCAATTCAGTGAGTAAACAGGACAACAAACACCTACAGACTATAGGAAAAATCAAGACACTATCCGGCTCCAAAGTATCATCGAAATCTTCACTCAAGACCGGATCATCATCGGTTATGTATTCATTTGGTGCATGCAGAATATGCAAACAGAAGGTACATGAACCAGGAAGACATTATTGTCAGAGTTGCGCATACAAGAAAGGTATATGCGCCATGTGTGGCGTACGCATATTAAACATTAAATCTTACAAGCAATCTGCTACTTGAAATCAATTTAAACAGTCGCATAACACTATTAAATACAGCATAACTGTAACTGAAACCATATTACTGTTATAGATGTAAAATCATTTTAACATAAATGTAATATTATTGATTATAATTTTTGTAATCAATGGTAATTTATAAATTACTTATTCTTATTTTAACAGGTCATTCAAATGTTATGTATGTACTTTAAATTAAAAATATTATAAAATGATGCAACTTTAATTTTATTATTAAATAATTTAATTACTTTATAAATAATGTTTTAAACTGTCATTGAAACTGTAGTTGAGTTTTTCTTTTTTAAACCATTTTGGCGGTTGTGCATCACAATTTTATTGGTGGCAGGAAATCCGTCCATTAATAGACAATATTTTGACCAAAAATTGAATGCAGATAATTCTGCTGAATCATTTTTAGATGGTGAAGTAACGCTTGCAGAAATGATGTCAATAGGATTTTTGTTTAATGAAACACCAGCATGGATACCATATACTTTGTCGTTATCTTCCAAAATATGCCCAAACCAATATATTACAGCTCCCGGCCCATAACGATTCCAGTAAGGAAACAATTGGCCTTGAGTAGATTTACGTAATTGATCAGGGCCACCAAACATTGCTTTAGATTCTATCCAATTTAACACTCGAATTTCATTTTCACTTCCTCCAACATAATTTGTCGCTGTATATTCTTGACTGTATTTCGTATTGTGAACGTCAGACAATAAAATAGCAATAGGTTCGTTAAGGACCACATCAGGTGTCATATCTAAACCACGAAGCCTGCACTCCTTTTCAGTTGTATAATTTCTCTCAGGTTTGTTTGTCTGGGACTTGGTCAAACCTGTCATATTTTGCTTCAAAATTTGTTCAAAGCGCTTGCCATTGCAGCTGTAAAACAATTTATATGTTAAGATTAATAAAATGAATTAATATCATAATAACTTAATAAATTATACCTTTTGATAAATTCCACACATGATCCATAATGCCCATCTACAACAGACGACTTATATACTTCGTAAGCTAACTGTGGATCTTTACGTATTAACCAAGTAGACATAGCCAATTGATGTGGTGTTAAATTCAAACTTTTATCAGTTGTCGGAATACAGTATGAATTACTATTATTCAAACTATAATCAGATTTATTTAAGTCTAAATCAGATTTATGCATTGAGCGCAGTTTACAGGTGAGCCAGTTTAACTGTTTAGATAACTGTTCATCGATACTATACGAAGTATCCAATTCTTTTGCTGTAGAGTCGTTGGCATTTAAATCTTGTTTCAACTCCATATCACTATCATTTTGTAAGTTACTAGAAGTTGATCCAACACTTGTATCATTTAATATGCTACTATTTAAACTATCGTCATTGATGGAATGCTGCTGATCAAGTTTCTCTTTCAATTTTTCTTCTTTTATTTGATCGGTAAGTACACATTTTGCGACCAACATAGCTGGCATACGCAATTTATCAGCTAATGTGATCAATGGAGATGACACAGTACCATTAGCTACTAATTCCTTGTACCTATAGATACATATATCATTAATATACAAAACATAGTAAATTAGATTTACTAAATTGGATAGTAAAAATGCCTACCTCTCATTCATTGTTTTTGAAGGACCGATTAAATGTTTATTAGTGCGTTCTTGTTGACGATAATTCATATATAGCTTAGATTTTGTTGTGGCTGTAGTCCGAGATGTGGCTGAAGAATGTGAAGGGGAATTAGCATTGGAAGTGCTGGAAAAGACCTTATGATGTCGTTGACGAACATATTGTTGAACTCGACCGTCGACAATACTTATAACAGTATTTTTATGTAAGCTAAACGATAATAATACAATTAGTAAAATAAAGTCATTATAAAAGCTGTATAACTTACTGGGGATATCTGATGAGTGCGTTTGAGGTCAACACACCATACCGGTTTAGAATAAAATCATAGTTGTTTTTGATTGACGAGTCGATCCAGTCAACCATTGCATTGTACTCGGATTTGGTAATACATTTTCTATTTGATTCATGGAGATTCGATTCAATGGTAGCGTCCATGATGGCTATACCTTTAAATACTCAGCAAACTTCAGTAAGTAAGGTACGCCGAACGCATAATGCGGAAAGGCCGCTAGAACATATCCCGCATAGAAAAACGAACCATTATCGAGCACATGCAGAAGTTGCTGATAGTAATGGACAATGTAAATTCAATAGACATTGGTGATGTTCATAGTCATCCGGGGTGTAAAAAAAAACGAAAAACGACTGAACAAAATGCAAATTTGAAAATCCAACTGCGTAGTAGGTACTCCGCCGATATCACTCGTAGCACTCCGCGATATCACTTTCGGAATTTTGTAACTTGTTGTGGTCCAGTGTGGACGCCGTGGGGCATGGATATAACATAACAAGACGTTGTAGTTGTTATGGTGTACGCCATATTCGTCGCGCCATCTATGTCTCGATTGGTGTCCAAACGAAACTAAATCGGTAAACAAAGTATTATAATTATTAATATTAGCGTTTCGCGGACAACATAAAAATAATATAATATTCAAATGTAAAATAATATCGGTTACGAGGTAAATAATTAAAAATAACAACTGTCATAACCATTTGTGCCAAAGTATTTTGTATTTAGAAACATAATATGAAAATATGAAATTCAATACCTAATGGCTAATACCTACTGTTTATGGTTTATCGTATTATTGTCGAACGTTAAATATTAACATTTTATGAAGTGGTCACGGCGTTTTGTCGCGTCTATACGCATCGTGCTGCAAATATTATTATGCGCCTATTGTTTGAGTGACAATTTATTGTTATTAATTATTATGGGATCGACACGCCACACGCTCGAAATGGGATACCTGCATAGTAGCATATAGGTACCTACATAAAAATGTATTACAATTTACAATTGTAATATAATCGTACTAAAAATGTAGAAATAACGCATAACTAATCGTATACATTTAACATTAATTTGTTCTACCTATACGTGCGTGTGAACCCAACTCCCGGCGGCTTATCTGCAGTTTAAATGCCAGCTTTAGCTTTCTATATTAACGACTCGTCGGAACCTGTAAGCAGATACGATATAGGTACCTGTCTGCATAATAATAATAATAATAATGTGTAGGTATTATAATATTATATACCTATTGCCTACCTATATTACGTTGTGGGGACATTTTCTTTTTTTTTTTTACATTTTGTTCTAAATACCGAATTGTTCTCGTCGTAGACACTGTAATATAATAATATATAGACAGCCATATGGGCAGCGGTAGGTACCTAATAGGTATTAAGGTATGACGATTATAGTCACCGAAGCTGTCGTGGCGTAGGTATAACGTAGGCACGTAAATCGTTTAGGTTTTATTCATCTGCCGAGTGCTGACAAAAGCGCGTTAATCGCGTTAGAATACGACGAAAATCCAAATTAAATATGCTAATTTCTAGATGGTTCGGAGTCGTTCGCGTCCAACGTAAAAATATATTACACCCATTAACGGCGGCTGCGGTACAAGCGCATATCGCTGCGTAATATTATCATATTATCGCTGTGAGAGAAAAGCCAAACTGCGGCAGCCGAAAACCGGTTGTTCGCCGCCTACCAAACGTTTGCAGGACCGCGTACACCTCCCGCCGCCAATCATCCGCCGCTGACGACGTCGACGACGGCGACGATATTATAATGACATACCCGAAAAACGTACCTACGTAATATTCTATAATAATAACACCACGCACACCGCCGTCCGCCCAGAATCGTTGCGTGTGCGTGTGCTTGTATGTGCGACGTGCGTGTACGTACATATATATGTGTGTGTGTGTGTGTGTATGGTTGTGTATGTGTGTGTGTGACACGGCGTAAAAGTTGTAGGCAAGCGGCTCGCGGGCAAATAGTGAAATTTTACTTGCACCGCTCCGCCGAGATATACAAGCATACAACAACGCCGCCGCCGCCGCCGCATGTTTTTTTTATAGTACCGGCGAAGAGAGTCTCGGCGGGGTCGGCACTCGGCATGTTCTTCTCGTGCGGTGTGCAGTACGTGTATCAGTCGCAATATCGTCGTCGGTCTGCGAGCAGTACGCGCCGCAGATAGTGCAATATCTTAATACTCAACTTATACTTTATAGGTAAAAAATTGATTTGAAGCTCGTACCACTCGTAAGTCGTAAGTGCATATTGTGTACATGTGTAATATTGTGTGTATCGGAACACCGAGCACTCTGCTCGATGTATATAATATATACATAATAATAACAATATTTTATAATATAATATATGACGATAATAACATAATACCTATATAATATTATACATTATACACAAAGGTGCTTGTAGTTGCGAGTGGTATATTATTAATTTATATTATGAGATACGGTTTACATTATTATCATATGGGAAAACGAAGATTGCAATATTATACCGCCAAACTTTATTGCGCTCGTGGCTCATTCTAAATATATTGTAACATATTATAATATAAAGTTTAATTGTTGTTTTTCCGATCGAAACAGATTTTCACGGGACCATCTCGCAGCTATATAGGCAGCTACGGCGACGAAGAGGATATTTGTTTTTCACGAAACATATTACGCTTCAACATTTCGAGTGAGTACCTATATATATTATATACCTATTATATTATCTATATTATTCATACCTTATAACGCCTATATAAATATTTAAAAGTTAAGTTTAAAATTAAATTACGTAGTCGATAGTAGGTACCTACTATGGCTGCGATCGGTTTCGTAACGTAATGTATCTACTAATGTATTAATACTATTGTCCATTAAGTATGTATATAATATGTAACTGGAGTGCATGTCGCGCTCGAGAATATATATAGGTAACCCACGGGTACCATGTGCAATGCATATAATATATATTATATATTATATGCGATTAACTGCAGCGGATTAACTGAAACGGACCCGTTAACATATAGGTCGAAATTTTCTCTTTTTCGCGCCTTACGCACTCCCGCGATAGGTATACCTACGGGTTATCCGCGCGTATAGTAACGATATGAATTCCGACGAGACTAATTAAGCAGTCTGCCAATAAAATCAGTATCGGTGGGTGCGTATATCGTGCCGAGAAAACAATATGATATATTATTGTATATATGTTGGTAATAATTATATTCTAATAATATTGTTGTTTGAATCGGCGAGCGTATGTGTATATGCGTACGCGGTGAGAATATTATTTTTCCCGCCGTCATTGTGATATTCACGTTAACATAACATAATAATTCTCATACAATAAAGATAATATATGCAACAGGGAAACGGCACCGCGCAAGCGCAACAGGTTGTGTCAGGGTTGTGTGTACAATGTGTCTGGGCGTCTGGCCACAAGTGCACACTGCACAGCGCTACAACCCTTGTCTTGTAAACACGGCGATGATGACTATAATGATGATAATAATAATAATAATATAATGACACCGCCTGCACGAAACCGGATGCACCGAAATGCAGCTGACCGCACCGCACCGTCGTCGTTGTTACCTACTATATAATATATTACCTATTACCTATTATTATATTGTACGTTTTTCAAAGTACACATGTCGTGTGGGTAAATTATAAGTATCTGGCAGACACACGAATCGTATAGCGCCGAAGCTTAACGTCCAGCAGTAATACTCACATGTCAGGGTATAATAGGTACGTACGTTAAATATATAATATACATGGGTACATATATACGTTTCATGTACGTTATTATATACATCTCGCATGTTACTACTACAAGACGTGTTGTCAGCCTCCTATATGGTCATGCCTGTATAGTACGACGAATGTGTACTACAGCCTGCAGGTGACGTCCCGTACGGCCGTACCTCCCCGGTGGTCGTAAGCACAGTACAAACAGTAGAAAACCAGCCGGCGGCGGCACTTTCACGTCGTACACACATCGCTTGCGTATACCTGAGGCGAGAGCCGGTAAACATTTTCGGATCCGACGCGCAGGATATAAATAGTACATGCACACTTACTTAATATATGTATTATACTTATAATATGCGCACACAACCGGTCGCCGAAGTTTAAGCAAGAAATCGAACCGCTCGCCGTATCTCACCGCGACGAAACCGCACCAGACACCCATAAAAAAAAAAAAAAAATACAACAAATCCGTAGAGTTTCATATCATTATTATTGCCTATATTATAATACACGTTCGCCCGGCGTATACGGTGACCGTGACATTGTGCCGCGGGTGGGCCGACGATGGTGTCGGCCGCATATATCCGGTTGGAGGTCATGACGGTTGCGACCGCGGGAGAGAGTGCTGCATGCGCCGGCGTTCGCCACTGCACCGACGAGTGCATCCCCACACGCAACAATATCATAGAGTATACACACAACATCGTAGATTGTGTAGGTACATGAAGTGGTACTGTGGTAGGTATCTATACCTATACTACCTAATATATTATGATGTATATCACATCATTATCATGTAGGGCCGTACCCGTGGCTCTCGCGTGTATATATTATTATAATATATACTGCGGCTATAGGGGCGTATGTAGAGATTTTTTCGGAGAACGGGAAGGAGGCTGGGACACGGAACGAGAGACTGAAGAATTCGTTAAAAATAGAAAACGTCGGCACGCCGTATTTCGAAAATAACAAATCTAATAATATGTGTATAGGTTCTTTTTAAGTATATTTTTTGTAATAAATTCTTTACGCCTAAACTACAAAAATTACTTTCCGGGAGGCCAGCTGATCACTGAATAGTATGATTTAGGCAGAGCTTTAGGCATTATAAAATAATCATGGGTACCTACCTACATCATTATGTTAGTAAAACCTCTGTTTAACTGAATTATACGATTGAAAACCAATATCATAGTAGGCCATGTGCATTATTACGAGGATTTTTGTCGAAGACAAAATTATCGAGGTTGTCATGGAGTTTTTTCCAAAAAAAATATTAAAATACCTGAAATAAATCTATCAAATTTTTACACACAATTTAATAATGCGTGTTCAGTATAATATGATTGGGCATTGTTTTTATAACAATTTCGTGGTAGCTGGAGATGAGGTTGAATAGTTTATAAATACTTAAATATAATATCTTAACTTCCCTCAAATTCGTTGAACAATATAAAATAATGTGAAAACATTTAATTTTCTTAGGTATAACCTATTTTAAAATTTCTATGCACCTATATTGCAAGTTGCAACACGCCGTATATATGAAATACCTTATATGGCCGTTGAGTTTGTTCATCGTGAGTATTTCATAGACTTGTAGTTACCAATGTACCGTTCTCTGTTTATATGTTTGTATCCAAACGTATATTTGTGAGTTGCGTATTTGGGATTTTTTAAGGGGGAGGGGGGGTCTGTTACCAAAAGGAGAAGTATTTACACATAATATATTATTTTATTATTATACCTATATAAATTAAAATACATGATTGAGGTTACATAAAAAAATGATGTATAATAAGAACAATCAGCTAATCAATATTTTATAAGTACTTATTTACAAAATAATGTAAGCTCAAGGGGGTGTCCTTGTATGCATTTCCATATTCCCAAACAACTCCTTGTGTACGTCACTAATGTATGTATGTAAGAAAATATATAATGTATATAAATATAATATGATACTGAGCTAATGGAGATCAGACCTCGACAACAGCATACTTATTATTATAATATTTTCCCTCCCTCTGAAAAATATAAATATGTCTATAACTTATGAGTTTACAGATGCCCTTGAGAATATTATTTTCCTCCGTTTTTATAACAGTACGTGTTTTGGCTCTAAAATCACTTGCCAATCATTATTATGATTTATGATTGATATTCATTAGAGCGCTCTTACCATACTTATACTATGGAGTGCGACAGAGCTAGACGATAAATATATGTGTACCATGGTTCTCTCTAACGTGTGTACCATTATACCAGTCCACGTCTAACGAGAAGTGCGAATTCTTTATTATAATTAATATCATATTATGACCTGCCTTCCTGCGTCGTCGCGAGAGGCGTTCGACTATATAGACACTTAAATTTGTGTAGGTACATATTATTATTTAAAATATGTATTTAATTTGCTCATCTCGCACGCGTGAGACCGATATACATGCAGCATGCTTATATATTGTGTATTTGTGTGTATATTATGTATCGTACACGATACATTATCGAGATTGTAAAAGTAGGCAAAGATGGTAGTCGTACCTGGAAGACAGGTTCTCTCTTTCCCGGCGCACCCACGACACGTCCGATAAACTGCATTCTTCGAGAGAAACACGGTGTGCCGGCATATAGCAGCATCAGAATCGCATCCGTGGCTTGTGAGTTTATTTTTGGTAAGCGCTTTCATCGGGTCGACGAAAGCGTGTTCGTTAATTGGTCAATTTACCCACAAGATCAATTTTCGGTTGTACGTGTATAAGTATATAGTGTTAACGTAATACTATAGTTGGAACGTATTATAAATGTAAAATATAAACACTCTAATTTAAAATTTAAATATCACAGTTTTGTCTAGTGTTTACTTATCCATGTTTTAACAACTTTTCTTTCAGAGCTCGTGAGAAAATCTAATAATGTGGTGGCCCCGGCCACGGTGGAAGAGTGACATTTTCACGCGTTTTGTACTACTGTTATTATTCATCATCACAACCACGACTACAAAAAACGCAGTGATGGCAGACGAAGGGCAGCAGCATTGCGGCTCTGGTAATATATCCGCCGTGGTATGGACAACTGTATTTTGTACGATGCTGTTGGTTATCGCAATTGTTGCGATATATTTTGTTTACTGTAAGAGAAGAGAACACGACTGGTCATCGTTGTGGTGGAAGAGCAATTCAGGTGATTAATAAAATTACTATAGGTACATACTTATAGCGTCGTACAGTTATTATGCATAGACGTATCTAGTGTTATAAACTCTTGGAATATATGATAATATTTCATATTAGACATTCAAAACAGAAATCAGATCATTGGGAATCATGTGTTGGTACATATAACATGTGGATTAGAATCCGCTGACTAGGGATTCTAACGACGTCTCCAGACGAATGCGTGAAATCTTAGTAGCTACTCTTTCCGTACTCACACTGAAACAATAATAAACCCAATAAATCTTAGTATTTATTAACAATTACATTGATCGTGATTATTTTTTATGCAACTATTGTGTTTGGAAAATTTCATAACAATATATTATAGATAAATAAATAAATGTATATTTGTATTATTATATCAAATGTTTTTATTTTTTTTTAATATGTAAATCTATGTATGTTTTTAACAGACAAAAATCTCGTACTACAAACATCAGCTCCTGTTAAAAACCAAAAATTGAAGAATGGCGGAACTGATAACCCAGCATTTTCAGCAGATACTTATATTGGCGACTGTGTTGCAAAAACAGGATTGACTAGGGTCGTGCGAGTGTCCTCGTCGTCTATAGGCGAAGGGTCGCTGGGAAACGAATTGTCATTAAAAGAAGAAGACGGCAGACAAATCTACATGTGCAAACACAATGATGGATCAAAAGGTAAAAAAATTATAAGGAAAGCTGATATCTAAATAAATTAGTAAAATAATTTAACTACGGTCGAGCACTACAGTTTAATGCAATAGGTTATTACATTTTTAGGCTTTTATATGCTTATATAGCACTTGGGAAATATCGAGAGGATCAAATAAATTACTATGTATTTGTTTAATAATTAATAAATAGGTTATATATATATATATAAATATAATTTAACTTGTATACAAATTTAATAAGCCCAAGTTAAATTTATTAAAATATATATATATGGATATATATTTAATTCATATCATATATATTATGCCGAGTTCCTGTAATCGGCAGGACAATTAACGTGTACATGAAATCGGCTGCATTCTAAAATAATACTGCTGATTTCGTTATGACGGCAAGGCCCTTCTTAAAAAAAGATTTTATGAAATACATGTAGTGAGATAAATTGTGGTGGATAGATCATTAAATCAAATTTATATTATTTTTATTTGACGTCAAGTTATAATTTATAAGTCAGAACCGTCGAACCGTACAATGTTGTAAATTTAATATATAATATAATATTATAAATGTATATGTTTGTAGTACTATACAAATTAATTTCGTCGAAATTTGAACTTCAAATCTTTATGAAAAATGATCGGGATTATGTATTTCTGATTTTTTTAACTGCTATAGGAACCTATTTTATTTTATTTTTAAAGTCTTCTACTCAAAAACAAAAAATGTATATCAACATAAATTGAAAAAAAACTAAAAACAGTTTACTTTTGAATTTTTAATCCCCAATGAGTAGGTACCCTTCAAGCAGCTTAAACATTTTTTTCTTATTATTTATGTACTTATATAAAAAGTAACCATTTCGGTATAACATATTCCTCGGCTGATCTTTTTTTGATAATTTTAAATCAGTTTGTAATAGCGCCTATCGTGTACAGAAGTTCAGCGTCATCAAATAATGTGTAGTTAAATGTTTGCATTCGGCAGAAAAAATCCCGCTTGATTTGTGCAATCAACAAACAATTTTTTCTGACTCCATGAAATTGGTAGCCAAATCATCGATCTTACGTATTTAGCAATGACGCTGATGATTTCATGAACTCAGTGTAACATATATATTATTATAATATACAATACATAATATAGACATTTTAGAGTTGGTTATAGAATATATACTATATACGTATATAACACATAGTTAATAATTATTTTACATCTGCATTATTTTAACAAATACCTAATAAGATGAATATTTTATTTTAAGTGGGTGCTAAAACTTCATTATACACGCTGTAACAAAGTATAGTATAGATCTAAATAAAAAAGAACGGCTTTGTAATAATTTGTATTTAAAAAATATTGTTTTGTTCTTTATCAAAGCCCTAAGGTTAATTTATAACATACAGTTAAAAATAAACCAGGTTAATTAACTAGGTGTTGTAAAATATTATCAACGAAACAAATATTTTCCTTGAAAATCAGTTCCTTATATGGAATAATTATAATATTGTGGTTTACAACTGCAAAGTTACGATCGGTCGATCATGTATGTTGGTTTGATAATATTTTACTTTAACTGCAGTTCTCGTAGTCTCCAATACGGTATTAACTTATTTTACATCTGAAAATGGTCCTTACCTTACAGACTTTTCGGTGGGTGTGATTAATTTATATACTGTATTCAGATTAAGAATATATCAGGCAGCCTTGGTCAAAACCGGTTTTGCTACATAAATCTGGTATGATCTTATTCTGAATAGACTATAGTATCTGTAAAATGTTGGTATGTTACGACTTTGTACCTATTTGACGGTCTTAGTGACCCCGCGAGATCCTCGTGTGACAAATAATGAATGAGCTTATTTGTTCATTCTTATTATTTATGGTTTAAACTATTTAACTATATTGAGGAGATCAACCAAATGTTTAGTGTTTTATTTCTCTTAATTTGTTTTCTGTAACATTTTGCCATTCAATGTTGCATAGATTATTACAGTACCTATAATATGCAATATCTATATTTTGCGTATATTACTATATTAATGAAAAGTAGCGTGTTGCTAGTGTGGTTGTTTATTGCGTTTCGAGCAGATTTATTTCGTTTTAGTCAGTCTCCTCAATCCTCGTTATACTGAAATTCCCTGGTTTCCTTATGAAACTATATTTATTGGGTTGGTAGATCAATTTATATGATCAGTTAGTAGTTAGTACAATATTTTTCAAATTTCACGTGGCATTAAGTGATTCGGGAACCGAAATAAATTTTTTTCTTGTTTGTCATTGTTATAACTTAAGTGTTATTTTAACTTATTTAAAAAGGGCCAAATGTGAGTTGTGTAAATAGGTACATACTAGTATACTACTATATAATATATTATGGATGTTATATTTAAATTGTTTAGCCGAAATCACAGTATTATAATAACTACCATACATAATATCTGGCATCTGCGTTTATCTTACATTTACGCCAAGTTAAAATAATATATGTGTTGAAATACCCTTAAATATTATTTACCTAAAATCATTGGGATCTAAAAATTATTTGAATTTTTAACTTTTTCGATTATCTGTCATAACTTTCTACAAGTAAAACGTCCATGTTGTATGGCAGTCAATATTTTAAGATGTACACCGAACATCGGCCTGTACCTTATAAGTTTACAATACTTATTTTAGATATTCAAGTTGGTATGATTATTAACAAATTATAATAATTTTCAAATTGCCTAAGTTTAGGTTACCATAAAGTTTAATATATAAAAATAGTTAGTCAGCTATTAGTGTTTTTATTTATTTATTTAAAAGAATCTGCAGATTAAGAATTTATTTATCAATTTGTATATTATAAATGCAATAAGATAAATGTATGGTATTTGATATTATATTTAATATATTTACACATGATTTCACATATTAGTGATATTTCACACGATGAGGAATCTATCCATTATTAGCACATCGTAGATGTACCTATAATAGTTGTACAATATTAACTCTTTAATTCTTAACGAATTAATATCATATCTGCGTAGGTTATTAAAAATCTTGATGTATAAAATTAAATGTAGGTATAATACATATCATTTTATATTATAAACTATAGTTATTATATAACATATGATTAAAATTACAAATTGTATAATAAATATTATATGTCCAATTTTTGTTACTTTTCAAGTTGAATATATTAATTTTGTGATTGTAAAAATACTTTCAAATTTGGTTATTTTCTTTTTTTTATTAATTATTATTTATAAATTATACTGCAGATAATATACATCTACTGTAGCGTAGAATATAAAAAATTTATGATTCAGTGCATTTTGACTTAAACTTTCATTTCATTAATAGTTAATATCACCCATTTACACTTCAATGTGGAAAATCGAGTTTACATTTCGAGATAAAACCAGGTTTATTTTATAGGTGTAAGCCAATTATACAACTAACACTATTATACAGTAAAAATGTAAAATAGATATTACCGAATATTTCATATTAAAAAATGAATATAAAACATTGACAGTTTATTAAAAGATATATTCTAACCAAAAACCGCGATTAGGACAAGTCATAATCTCATAATATTGTTGAGAGTTTGGCATTCACTCGCTACGCTTTCACAGGTGCTGTAACTATATGCTTCATAAATACTAACTTAATAGGTATATCTAGACTATTTGTAAAAATATATACGTATATAACCACATAATGAAACATATTTTACTTTCATATGGTGATAACTTCAAATATTTTATATTTTCCTAGAAAAATAAAATTCTATGGGATATATTTTATAATACCTATAATATAATATAATACATATACTATATGTATTATAATTATTATATTTTGTACTGTTGTATTAACAAGTGAAGTAACTGTTACGAATGGGCTACGAAGTGCTAAGTAAGGAGTTTGGTACGCGGGGCCGTTCAGATAGGAGGATGTGGAGCAACGGGGCCATTTTTCCCATTTTACTATAATTTCTAAGGGTCACCTAAAATATTCCAAATGGACTTGTATGTTAGTCTGATATTAATTCATACAAATAGTCTAACTAGGCGTTGTATCCATTAGGGCCTATTATTTCTAAAATCTTTTTTTTTATGAAATATCAATGATACAATTTTATTTTGTTTATGTATTTAGCAATTTTTTTAATAGGCTACGTTTTTGATTATTTTAAATGATAATAATTTTCATATTTTTTTTTTGCCGTGGTGCCGCTGTGCCGCCGTGTGAACTGTAAAGAATGCGAATTTCTTCGAAGAAATTCGTTATTAAGTATCTATAGTTAATAGTTATTACTTATTACCCACGTATAAATATCGAATGTTGAATATTTTCTTTATTACTTTATTCATTGTTTAGAGTTTACTGTTTAGTGCCGTACCGCTAATATAGTTGCTAGAATTTTATTATCTTAATACTGAAGACTCACATTAACACCGATTTCATGACTCATGAGTTTAAATAACCTTGGTTGGTTAATTTTTCTTACATTTTACAAATCGCTGTGAATATTATTAGGGGCCACAGCAATAATTTTCTCCTGGTTCTCGAAAAACATTGGGACTGTTTTGTATCGAAGGTATTGAAAGAATCTAATCATGTGTGTGACGAGTGACGACGTGTCGTATTATACAATAAAACAACGAAAAACATATTAAGTACTTAGGTATATGTTTCTTTTAAATAACATAAAATAGCATTCAGATACATATTTATTGGACACTTGAATCGTTGGTACAATTTTAATTAAGTAATACTATGATAAATGTATTAAATGATTTTACTTTAAAATAAACATTCAAAAAGTAATTGATATTCTAGTAATCTACTTTCACAGTTATTATTTACAGTTTTTATCGTGGAATTAGTCAAATTTGAGTTTTCTTGTTATGTTTATTACTTATTATAACTTACTATAGGTACCGTCCATGTATAAATTAATTATCGCATGAAAAATAGTGGATTTTGTGTATATTTGTTTATTATATTTTTATATTTATATATTAAAATTAAATTAATTTTCCTAAATATAATTCTTAAAAATACAGATTAGTGTAGTACAAAAATGGTTTTCACTACACTCCAAGACGTGTGTTGGCAGGACAACTGATTTTACACTTGCACTATGAGCCTATTATTAGGCAAGATTTCTTACTTTTTTTTTAGATTGTAATTTGAAAACAATCTTCATTTAATATTATTGACTAACAAGTAAATATTAAAATGGTTATGTGTTATACTGTTATGTTATTAGTAATATTTATTTTTTATTTAAATCAGTACACAAATAATGAAATAAATTGATAATAATATAAACTGGACCCTGTTTATATCTAGGTATAAGGTATCTTAGTGACTTAGTATATCTAAACCAAAACGATTCCCTTACAAATAAAAATAATACAGTAGTGTTAACTATCATGGATGGTATTTAATATATAGCTATATAGATATTGACGGTCCTCCAATAAAAAAAATAGATATAAAAATAAATATTGGTAAAAGAAAATTAATGTTATATGAATTATTGTTTGTGTTATAGATCAATTGGTTGCGTTGCGGTTTGTGTTTGATAAAGGGCAACAGCAACAACTGAGCAGACCGCCAGCATCGGATCTAAGTCGCTCGCTGGTCGAGCTGAGTCGCAAGTACGGGTTGCATGTTGAACTGGAAACCGAGGGAGAAGCTGTCGTAGGGACGCCGGAAAAATGCGACGATACTTCAGCAAAATGTACGAAGTCCAACATTCTATCGGCTGTCCGCGGACAAGCGCAACGTCTGTGGCACCAGAGACAGCTCGCATTCAAAGGGGGTGACAGTAACGGCCGCGTGGACGTGGATAAAGAGATCGTACAAGGTGATGTGGAAAGCTGCCGCGTTGAAGCAGTCCACGTGGGTACGGCCCCACCGACCCAGACATCTCCATCTTCTGTGATGACGGTAAACGAAACCGGGGCCGCCGAACGGCCGCCACGAAACCTTGGTGGATCGTTACGGTATCGCACTCTGGAGTACGGTGCATCGCCCGCTGATGCTGAAGCACACTCGTCGCCAGACAGCGGCGTCCAGTGTTGTACAGTCAATCCGTCGGAGCCTGTCCCGGGGAAGGTCGATAAAGACCCAGCCGCCGCAGTGACGGTGACAATCGACAGAGATGTGGTGGCGGCGGCGGAGGCTGGTAAAGGTGTAGTAGCAGTGCCATCAGTGAAAGATGTGGTAGTGATGGTGGACAAAGGCGAAGCAGTAAAAGCGGACAAATACGAAGCAGCCAAATCGGACAAAATGGAAGCAGACAAAGATGAAACAATCGTGGTGCCAGACAAAAACGCTGCAGCCGTGTTGAAAACGGTCGACGACCCTAAGAAATCGGTGGTGATGGTTAAACCGAAAAATGACGAACCAAAACACTCCAACCCACCTCCACCGCCTCCGCCTCGTAAGTACAGCTCGGCGGTAGTGCCACCGACTGTTCCAGTAACCGCGGTCGTACCGCCGACTGTTCCAGCGACCGTGGTAATGCCGCCGACTGTTCCAGCGACCGTGGTAATGCCGCCGACTGTTCCAGCGACCGTGGTAATGCCGCCGACTGTTCCAACGACCGTGGTAATGCCGCCGACTGTTCCAGCGACTGTGGTAGTGCCGCCAACAGTTCCAGCGAATGTGGTAGTGCCGCCAACTGTTCCAGCGACTGCGGTTACCGTACCACGGGCTACCGGTGCCACAGCAACCTGCAACGCTTCCGTACCCAGGGTCGATAACGTTCCACCAGAGCCCTGCATGGCACCGGTTCCGGTCGCTTGTGCCGAGCTGACCAAGGCGCCCGCCGCGGCAATAAACGAAATCCGAGTGGACGATGACTATTACTGGTGCACAACGACCGCCATGGCGCCGCCAATGTCCACCTTCGGGAAACGACCGTCCGTGACGCCAAGTGTCGAAAGCGGCAGCGGAGGTGGTGCAGCGGACACCACTATTGGCGACAGAGCTGCTGCCTTCCAAGGCGTGTTCGACAAAGGCGCTGCGGTGGCCCCGCTCATGGTGGACGACAGTCGAGATGTGGTGGCCGGCGGCACGACCAGTATCGAGGACGCATCGTTGCCGTCATTTTCGTCCGATGAAGATGAGGACGACGAAGACAACTGCAGTAACGGTGTGGTGTTGGCGGTCGACAAGTCCAAGTTCCCGCTGTGCAGCTCCATCGGTACTTCGGCGGACGGTGTCGGAGGAGTGTCCGGCGGTGGATCCGACGAAATAAAGATCAACTGCAACGGCGAGACACCCAAAAACAACAACAACAACAACGACGACGACGAAGTCGACGGCTCAGGTGTAGCACCGCCTGCCTCGGCGGAACCGAAATCGCCCACAAAGCTGCCGTCCCTACGGCTGTCGCTGTCTTCCCCACTGTCGTCTACAGCCAATACATCGTGCTATTCGTCGTCAGCATCGTCGACCTCTTCGACCTCACCTTCGCCAACGAACAGCACCATCAACAATTCGCCAATCGTGTCGAAAATACCGGTACGACGGCAGTCCGCCGGCAGCGGAGTAGTAACTGTTTCCACCCCGCTCACAAACGGCACAGCCAAGAAATCCATTCCGTTACCTCTGTCGAGAAGCGGTTCCCGGTTGGCCATGTGGACTTCGGCCAACTGACCAATTTCATCGCACGAAAACTGCAGTCAATACGACCTGCGATATTTAATATTACATGCGCATTTTCCACCAATATTAATTTTTAAATAAATATTATATAATATATTATATTACTATGTGTGTGAAATTACTGAAATTGAAATAAAATATAGGTGTATATTTTATTTTATTTTTTTATATTATTTTATTATTTATTTTAAATACTACCTATATTTGTATAAAACAAAAACTATTACTCTGCGAAATATAGCTATATATTATTATTTTTATTATTATTATCATCATTATTATTATTATTATTGTATTTTCATCTGTATTGAAATGAAAAAGTAAACAAAAAAAAAAAACAAACGTTCTCAATTTTTTTAAAAAAAAATTCCTTAACACGGTCTTGTATTCTCCTATACTCAGATACTCTGTATAGTGTATACCTATTAATAATATAGGTATTGTGTGATCGAACGACAGATTATAATAATACGATTTATTATGACATTATTATTACGCGGGTGCACGAAACCTTGGTCAATAAAAAACTTTTTCTACCTCCAGCCGGCGGCGTGGTCTCCGCGCGCGTTTCCTCCAAACAATCATGGGGGCCTCCGTTTCCCCCCGTCCTCCGACCAGTCCGCCACCACCACTCGATTATTAACAAACCGTGTGCACGGAGCCACTGCAACAGTGCACACACACACACAAAACACGCTCTGTCGCAGCAGCGGAAGACTCGTTTTCATTATTATCGGTTGATATTATTTAGATAATAATAATAATAATAAAATGTATATAATATTGTAATTTTTTTTCGTGTGCGCACCGCGTCGTGTGTTTCGTGATGCTGCCGCCGTGCGTTTTGTACACCACCGTACGCTGTGATTAGTGATTAGTGTTTTGTACGTATGTGTGTGTGTTACTGTGCGCGTGTTATTACTTATTTTTAATTGCCACCGCATTATTAATACGGTCCGGTCGACGAACAACACTATACTCCCGATAATAATACTTATTATATAATGCCACGATATACAATATTGTATTGTAATGTACTTTAATATTATATACATGCACATAATATACGTTTAAGATTATAATATAGTTTCGACGTTACTTTTGTACGATGCACTGTCGGCTATACTTGTTTTTGTCTTGCAGTTGTTGTCGTCGTCAAGTTTTTTAATTTCATTGTTACGCGCGACGCTATAATATTAACGTGCTATGCGTTTGATTAAAATGCTATAGAATCGTCGTTTCATCGCCTTCAAATGGAATCCATTGGCCGTTCCACTATCATGGGTAGCAACACTAATACTGCAGTGTCCACCATTGCCAATGCTACCTCGTCGGCCGTAGTTGGACTCTTACTGTCACAAGCTAGGCCTACAGTGGCGACCATTACAAGTAATACAAAACCCATTGGGCTGTGTCATGACGGAAACCATAGAATGCCGTTGCAACACTGCGTCAACGATAGCAACATCATACAACATCACCAATATCCTCCGATACTAGTAGCACCATCATCGCCGTCATTAGTACCGCCATCGTTGATTCATTCTTCTCAGACTGGTTCAATGTTACCTGCACCACCTCAGCTAATGCTATCAACTGCAACGGTAACAACATCAGGAGTACTACCACAATTTCAACAGCACAATGGACCTCATCAATTAGTTACTGCTGCTACTGCACCAGTGCCTGTTGCGTCTATAGTCATGCCCAATTCAAACGTTACCACTGTTGGTATGGCGTTGAGTCCCTTTGGTATATTGCCACACGAACGTGTGGTACCACAACATACTCATCACCGTCACCAACACAGAAAATTACCGGGTCTGTCGCCTTCTAAATCTATTATAGACACTAGTAACACTAGCTCCGCACAAATATTAACCGCACCAGTTATCAATTCACAACGTTTTTACATTGAGCCTACTCATCTCAGCAACAAAATTAAACAATATGATATTCAGCCGCCACAGCCACAACATAGAATTAAAATTGTCAATAGCATCTCTGATAAAAGTCTGCCAGTGGTATCCAGTGCGTATGTTCCCCAACCATATGAACAACGTTACCAACCAAGAACTGCACCTCAACAAGTAGGTTATTTGTCTGTTATTACTCGTACAGCAGTACCAACGACAAATGGTGTAATGAATGACATAGCACCAAACAATAATTATTACCAAGCACAGCCTATACCATTACAATCAAAGACTTCTGATAACCACGATAGACAATATTACCATTTCGATAGTACAGTCTCGGCTAGTCAAACACCTCAACAGCAATTGGACAATATTTTATTAATGGGGACTCCAGTTCAACGAGGTGATCCTATGCATATTGTTAAAAATTTACAATCTATGCAGACTGATATTGATTGTTATGGTGTTAAAAAAATGATTGACCAACAACCTAGGTTATTGGCTACTGACAACGGTAAGACAATGGCACCGACAAATTTGTTAGGTAATGGTAGTAAATGTATAATAGAGCATCAGCACCAGCATCTCCAGCAGTTACCTAAGTCTTCTGTGATTGATCCATCATCGTCTTACAATAGTCAATATTTCAATAGCCGTCAGCCACCACCTGCACATCTTCATCAGCATCATAATCAGCCACATTTACAGCAACATGTTGTCACTGGTAATACCAAAATGTTACCTACACCTACATCTTTGACTGTTGTTTCTGCTAATGGAAATACATATTTGGATGTACAGCAGCATCAACGCCATCATCGTTGGAATTTGGACCATCAAAAACCACCCGTTGTATCAACTTCATCATGTTTTACGGGAAACATTTCCTCTGGCGTATTTCATCAGCCACCGCTGCATCAACACCATCATCAACAGTACAACAATACAGTTCAAACATTTAATGTTCAACCACCACCAGCACCCAGCATTCCAATTCAACAACAACATATCTCACAGCCATCACATCACAATAATTTTACTGTGTCATCAGTAAATCCAACATATTATAGCCCCACAACTACAATGGTATCACCTATTGTCACTTCTGTCACCACGACCAGCCCATCAGTATCATTGTACAATCTAACACAAAGTAATAATCAAAGACAACATACTAACATTTTTCAAGACTTCACCAATGATTTGCAAGGTGGGAGTTATGTTGTAAACGATGATAACAGACCATCATCTTTACCAAATGTGGTCCCAATTGAAGAGGAATTGAGTCACCTTTTTGATGACCCCATTACTACTACAACTACTACTGACACAACTACTACTACTACTAGGGCTAAACCATTAAATATTACTACTAAAAAACCTTCATTTATTGATAGTTATATCAAATTTATAAATGGAACAAGGAGTGCGACTGATAAACCAGAAGATGAATTTAATGATAAATCAAAAAAATTATTAATACAACTAGCATCGGCATCTCCAAAACCTATATCTAAGCCTTATGTGCCCTTACCAAAACCAAAGATTTTACTAACAGCTGAACAGACATCATCTCGTAATGGTTCTGGTGAAGATATTAAGAAGATAAATAATGTTACAACAACAACAGATGATGATCCACGATATTTTCCATTACCTAAAACCTCATCATCAATAGCCGGTATAAGTGATGACAGAAGTGATGGCAGTAATGGTGAAAACAGTTGGTTGTCAGCAGATGACGAACACGATCAATGGTGGATATCTTCTTCAAAAGCACCTAGCAGTACAGCAGCACCATCAGTGATAAAAAATAAAGTAGATGTCATAAGCAAAACAAAAAAAAATAATAACACCATGAAAAAAAAACGAACAAATTCTGTCATACCAACTAAAAAACAAAGTATGTACAAGTGAGTTATTACTATTTTAATTTGTCTAATTATTTTTTAAATTTTAGAAACACATAATGTGCAACAGCCTACAAGACAGCTGTCTCATCGGTTGGCTAAAGAAAAAACTCAACAATTGCTTAGTCGTTTGAATGGTGAATTGGATCTAGATGATAATGATGTATTATCAGATACTGATTCCGATGTTGATCCAGCTTGGATACCAAACAATGATGATAATGATGCATCTAAAAGTTCCAACTCAATCAATAGTCGTCACAAAAAGTACTCAAAAGAGCGACGTTCAAATACTGGCCATCGACCATCAACCTCATCTAAAATCAATAATAATAATAATGATCATCCAGATGATTCAACATTATTTAAGGTATAATATATATTAAGTGCAATTTTAATGGTTTATTTATTTTGTAATTCATTTTCGGTAGTCTGGTACATTTGTGGCATTAAAACGTCAATTTTTGGATAATGGACAAGTGAATCCACAACATTTATGGAGAGTTGACGGAAAATCATTGCTACAAAAATTTACACGATGTAATGAAGATAATATGTATAAGAGTGTGTCAACTGTAAGTAGTATAGTAAAAACAAAGGTAGATCACATTTATATTTAATATATTTGATTTATTTTTAGTACACTGGTTGGAGTCCATCACATTATAACATGTACCGTCAAGTTGATGTCAAAATTATTACAACAGATAATGGTGACAATGTCATTCCAAATAAGCCGTCATCCATTGAAGTCTTGGTACAATTATTATCAAATAATGACAACAAACTGAATCAAAATAATGCTAAAGTCAAGACCGTTAGCTCAGCTTATAACCACATATCAAAACTAAAAGTTGATGCCATAAATTCTAATTTGTCTACAAACTCTTCGGCTTTTGTCGATGAGCAAAGTGTGATACTACGTGCCAATTTTGATGTGTATATCCAATCATTAGCATCACAAGCGCTGGACTCCAATTTTCTAGAAGAGATTTATCGTGAAAATGGTAATATCTTAATGCACTTCATAAATAATAGGTACCTAATTTTACATTTTTTTTGTTTTTATAGATGAATACTTTTTAAGCAATCTTCGTGCAATCGAAACAGTTACACAAACTTGGAAAAAAGCTCTTGATTCTACAGTTTCAAAAGATTTAAC